AGAAAGATTGAGAGAGAGAGTGAGATAGAGCGAACGTCGCATCACGCACTGTGCCATGGAGCGAGAGGTGGGAGAGAGCTATAGTGAGAAAGATTGAGAGAAAGAGTAAGGGAGATCGAGAAAAATACACGCTATTGGTTGATGTATTCATTTAGTAGTTACATATTAGAACTTTAGATGGCAATTCTGTCGTATAATGTCTTGTGTAGTAAACGCAGATTTTGTATTTATTTATATTATCATTAGCACGTATACAGTGTGTAAACAGTGTGAATAATGAATATAGATATACAAATGCATAAAGTGATCATAATATACTGGTACATGATCATCTATTGAGGCTTTTACCTTAGTAATAATTAATTTACAAAGAAGTTTCACTTCTGTAATGTGTTCTTTGTGCGCACGCACTTTTTTCAACATGAAATTCGCACTAGGTTATTCTGAATTAGTACCCAAAAATAAATCCCGAATACCAATTTAGGTCGCCGTTTTTTCCTTTACTCTCTCGTATTTTGAATAGAAAAACGATCTCGTGTATGAAATAAACGATTATGGTGACAGTTGACTTATGAAACGAGCAGAGACAAATTGTTAAAATACGTGTCGGCGATATTTTTCTTTTTGACAGTTATATTTAAAATTACTGGAGTTGTGTAAAACTATGAATTTATAATTATAAAATGTCCTATATTGTAACTTAATCAATTTTTAGTTTACTTTGGCTCATAAAACATTTAGTTGTAATTTGGAATTTAATTCATATAAATTTCAAGATTCTTTTGTTTATGAGATTCTAAACATTGACAATTAATATACATAGGTATCTATTTATTAGGACCTTAAAAATGTATAATAGTACTTAAATAGTTTGTTCTTGTCACAATAGTGTTACTTTGTATGTACCTACTAGGTTACACGTAAACTATTTGAAGTTATGGTATTTTGACTATAATGTATAACATACGAGGAATTAATGCTACTTGACAAGATTTTAAAAACAATATCAGATTATTAACGAGAGTCTATAGAACCTACACAGATTGTTATTTTGAATTCTGTCAAGTATTGGCTTTAAAATGTTAAATTAAACATTTAAAAGCCCGCCAAAACGTTTCTCTGGCAAGATGGCGTCGCAACAGTCCCTTTAACGGATATGTTTAAACTAACTTTTTTTATAGAGTAAGGGGGGAAACAAGCCTATGGGACGCCCAAAAACGGCGGTAATCGCATTTTTAGTGTGTGCGTTGCCGGCCTTTGAGGGAAGAGTACACTCTTAGTTCGAACAGTTGGAGGTCGTATCTCTCAGGGAAGACCCCCACCGGGAGTCCATTCCACAGTTCGCTAGTTCGCAAAACAAAGTGTTGTGAAGCGGTTTCTTCTTAAATCAGTATTATATTATCATACAGTATTAGAATTAGTTTGACGAAGACATTTTTACAAGCATGCTAAGACATCGTTAATTCGACTTATCTGTGACTGTTGTCATTGTGACTGACTTATGAAAATCAATATTTATGGATTCTATATAATCATTATTAGTTATGGATTTACAATTTTCTCAACCTACAAAGTAATCATAAAAATAAGTAAAAAGAAAAACAAAACAAATATAAAAAGTTTGTTCCCTGTGGCAGTGTACCTTTAATGCTGGCAGCAAAATTGTAAATAATGTATACTTGATTGTAAATATGAAAAATGTTTAATAAAGAATTAGTTATGGATTTTATTTATTAATTCATGATTATTTACTATTTATTTTACTCCATGTTTTATACTGGCTATGCTTAATAAGTCAATTTATTTTTCTTACAACAATATTTTTCTATATATATATAAAATTCTCGTGTCACAATGTTAAATTTAAATTTACCCCTAAATTTTTATTTTTTAGATAAAAATTTTTGTTTTTGTTTTTATATGATACAGTAAACAAAAAACATACAACCCCTAATTTTCACCCCTCTACGATTAACGCCTATTTTTTATTATTGTAGATAGTTATTTTAATTGAACTAAAAAAATGTTTCCTAGAATATACATGGCAAAACAAACGTTTGCCGGGTCAGCTAGTATATCTTTAAATAAACATGATCAAAGACTATTTTTAGTGATAACCCTTAAATCATAAAAGAAATTGTCTACTTAGTTTATATAGAACGTAACACATGGCGTGCTAGACTCGTAACTAACTTGAAACTTCAAGATAGTATGAAATAGGTGGTAACAGATTGTGCTGTATCGGAAAATGGACTGAAACTCGCTGTAATAAAGTTCGAAATTGGTTGCTACAGTAAATAAAGTTAGTCGCTTCGGCTTTACGGCAATGTTGACTTTTGCTAAGGTAAGCTAAAGTTGGACACTTCGGGGAACTCCACTTTAAATTGACTTAATTAACGCTGTGTCTAATGATGCTTGATGGTAACACACAGCTACATGCTCATATTAGAATTCAGACGTTATAATACCAACTATCAAACAGTACGGACATAAATATATTATCACCTATATAAGGAAAGGACTGACACGCTTTTGCTTTGTTTTATCGGCAAATCGATGATCTGGGCCCACACAAGTTGTATTTCATACCGTTTGAGTATGTGTTAACTATTTATAAATCTTAACTATTTATAAATCTTACTTTTTCACAAACTCATAACCCCAAGCTTTTTTGTCTGGAACAAATCGCTTGTTATCGACAAGGATATCGTTGCCTATCACTTATGTAACCTGTTTTTTATATGTATGTTTAAGGTAACAAGGTGTAAATAACTAAACAAATAGATCCCATGTTGTCGCAGCTTATATCTAGAAACGATTAACACAGCTCCTAATAAGCAAATAATATAAGATCATCCACAAATAACTTCCAATAAACACATTAAATTTTAATATACGAAACGTCAAAATACGTATATTACAGTTCATTGCTACTATGATAGTATTTCCTTCCGTACAACGCACTGAAGCCTACCAGGACTAATCCGTTCAATAGCAACTAGACAAATAACAATGCAACGTTGAGTATTAAACTATTATCTGTAATCCCATATGTGTCTTCAATACTTCCTGGGCCTTTTAAGCCTCAAGTAACGAATAATACTAGTAAATCATTTATATAAGGAATTGAATTCAAATTCGAATATGGGTAAATGTTGATAAAACAGGCTATACAAATTATTTTTTATTAATTAAAACTTATAAATCAGAGAACTGCAATGGTGTCCTAGACGTTAAGGTTTCTAATCTCAACCATAAGGTCGTTCGTTCAAACCCCAGCTGTGCACCAATATATTTTCTTATTTAATTGACGTTTTATTTATTGGCTTATAAGTGAAAAAAAAGGAAACCGGCGTGTCTTAATTAAAATATACTATATGTCGTGCAAAGAAGTCTGTAGCGCCACTGGATTATTCGTTATAATTTGTGTAGGAAGGAAGATGCTGCGCTTCCTTTAAACTAAAGTTAGGATCCTCGACCACTGTAACCTCTGGTTGACCAGCCCAAATGCCCCAATGGCTAAAGTCGAGCAGCAGGATATAACCTAACCAGTCGGTAAAACGTAAAAAAATTATATCTCTTATTGATGACTGAATTAATTCTTGAAATAGTTATAGTTTTGCGTAGTTCTGGGACTGGGTTCGCAAGCATACATAAGTCCAATATATCTGTACTGTGTAACTTACGTAAATAAAAGTCGGAAGCTAAGGTAAAAGACATTGTGTATAAATCTACAGATTGTATGAAAGTATGACATTAATGTCTGCGGGGATACCTTAGCTCTTAATAGTAAAAGTTTGATCATTATAGACCCATTATTATTCTTGTATTGTTTGAATAGCGGTTAACGGCGAGTTACTTCTGAACTAATGGTTGACGTTATTTTATTAGTACACGTATAATAAATATTTATTATCATAATGATACCGCAATCCCATTAATGAAAAGGGATACATAATCCAATATACTTATAGAGGAATTGTTAACATTGAATTAAAATGGTCTGTATTGCTTTGTAAGTGGTATATACCACTTACTTGGAAATATTTTCATACTTAAAAAGTAATCTAATATATAAAATTCTCGTGTCACAATGTTCGTTCCCATACTCCTTCGAAACGGCTAGACCGATTCTTATGAAATTTTTATGCATATTCAGTCATATCTTTCAAACCCCACAATTTGTATTTTTATTTTTAGCTATTTTTTTGTTTTTTTTTATGATTCAGCATACAAAAAACTTACAACCCTTAATTTTCACCCCTCTACGATTAACCCCTATTTCTTATTTGTTAGTAAAGAACTTATAACTTGAACTCTGAAGTTTATATAGAGAAAAATCACAAAAAACCTAAAAAGTTTTCATTCCATAAAACCGAACAGTCTCTGGGGTAGCATAGCAAAATTGTCCATGTTGGTATGTACTAAAAAGGTAGGCTAAGTAAAATCACATTAAGGAGAAGCGAATTTCGCGGGGGCAGCTAGTATTATATATTATGTCCTCCTCACGTTGGTTACATAATATACTTACTATTCTGAATGGAATTTTTTGCCAGGCCTTCACCAATATTAGTTATCGAACCTTTTTGTCTATATTTAGATGATAAAAAAAATTAAAAAATAAATAATATATATTTTTAATTATTTATTAATTATTTATTAAAAAATATACGACCCTTAGAATTTGCAGTTAGACCTCTTTTTTAAGAGTTGTATACTAAAGATTTGAATAAAGCCACCAACGATTTTCTGAAATCAATAGTAGGATACGAAAATAGCTGATGTCTAAAATGGTACAGACCCACCAAAGGCACTATTGTTACTAACCAATACTAATTTAGCACCTATATCTGCTATAATTAACCCATGTACTTTATCTTTTGTTTTAAAAATAAATTTATACCAAAAACATTGAATTTAATGTACAACTGTGACTACCGTAGTCATCTTTAATTAAATGGTAAAGATTATAAATAATTAACCGTTTTCTTTGATTACAGACATGTTCTGAGCGATGGAAGATTAGTAGTAGGTGCTCGCCGATCCATGGTAGATGCTGGTGGTGGAGGCAGCAGCGCTATCCTTCGATGTAGAGCATCCAATAAGGCTGGTGTCACTCTATCTCGGCCGGTCCTTTTACAACCAGGTAATTTGCCCATAGTGGTTAATAAAGTTTTATGAGATTATCTTCATCCATATATTTTATTATTATATAGACATTAATAATTAACAAAATAACACTAACACAACAATATAACGTATTAAGAAGTAGTCAACAGGTTAAACTGAGGTCAAAGGTAAAACAAAGGAGAATGGCGTGGTTCATTTGTTTATGAATAGTTTAAAGTAAAGTCGGTTATTGTAGCGTATCCTAACCTAACGAGTCATCTATTGTTTTACATCCTCTGTGCCCTAGATACTTGTCTATGCCATGATGCATACGTAGATGATTTAGTAGAAGAATATTATTATAGACCAACCATTATATATACTCTATATACAATACGTAGTATGATAATAATATCATTTCAGTTATTTCAACATTTTGAACCATAAAATTTAATATACAAATGTAGAAGAAAGGCAAAACAAATTATGACTTTGCTGAGTTAGACCAATTAACTTTCAGTTACAATCCGAGGAAATACAAAATAAAATGGAAACAGCCCACGGCCCCCGAGTTTTTACAGGGATAAAACTTTTAATTAAAGGATTAATAATGGCATATCAAGAAGTTAGAAACAAGTAGTCTTTTGTTTTGAACGAAGGAATTTTTTTAAATGGGTCTAAACAAACTTCAGAGCTCTTTTAATATTATCTTCGTAATTTTATATCACAAAGCTTTAAAACTGGTGGTCACTTAACCAGAAGATTGCTATGTTACACTTGTGGCTTCTTGTAAACTTGAAAAAGTGTAAAAAATTTAATATTACTTATTCCCTGCCAGAATTAAATATATTATATTTAAGATTAATTATCGATTATTAATATTGTAACAAAATAAAACATTATCTCGACAGTAATCCCCTTTTGTCCTTCATATACAATATACATCCTACCCAAAAAATGTTTTACTATTTACCTAAATTCAGACGGCTTTAAATGAAATAATTTTTGACACTTATAATATTTTAATGACAATTAAATTCATTAAATTCCTAACATGTCTAAAATTGTTTATTATTTTTAATTATTTATATTATTACTTTGTAGGTTAAGAAAATTGTAAATACTGTATACTTGATTGTAATTAAACAATGAATATAGTTATATATAAATCATTTTTTTAACGAGAAGGACAAGTAAAAACAACGATAGTTAAAACGTTTAATTGTGACTGTTTAAACCCAAATACCAGTTTCTTCCTATTGACCAAATTCTCCGGAGAGCTTTAAGGATGGAAAATCTCTAACTACGGCTTGATTTTCTTTCACTGCGTATGCATATATTACATAGTGTACTGCGGAGAGTGTTCTGAAGAATTGTTTGGACTGCTGCCTCGTTTCAGAATACTTCCACGTTTTATCAACCACCTCGATATCTGGAAGTATTCCACAATCTGCTTCTCTATTCATTTCCTTTACGAAGTGGCGAGCTGTGGAATCGACGTCCAGTAGTGGTATTTTCTGGAAGATACGGCATCTTTAAAAACAGACATACTCTCTCTTAAAGGCAGGCAGTCCATCCACTGACATGGGTGTTCATGGGCTGCAGCAGTTACCTTTTATGACCGCGACTATGACCGAAAGATGCTTCGTATCGGGTTTTTATTGGACTAGAGATGTTGCTGACCAGTTACAATCAAACTAAGTATATATCGTTTCCTAGTTGGTTGGCCTAGTGGCTAATGGACTTTCTTTCTATGTGCTTACATTTGCTCGAACGGTGAAGGAAAACATCGTAAGGAAAACCGGCTTGCCTTGGACCCAAAAAGTCGACGGTGTATGTCAGGCACAGGACGCTGATCACCTACACTCATGAAACAGATACAAAAATCTGAGGTCCAGGCCAAAAAAAAGGTTGTAGTGCCACTGATTTTTTTATTGATGGATAATAGATAATAGTCCTTCGTCGACTAATTAATACAAGGCTTTCAATCACAAAACTAAAAACAAATCTTAAAACTCGAGAGTTTTTGTAAATGGTATAGTGAATAAGAGAACAGGAAAACTCTGAATAAACAGGGATACCGGGAAATATATGATTGATAAAATTGCCAATATAGCCTTTGTTGATTAATTGGCATGAAAAATTCTATAAAACGGATCCATAATTGGGTGACGTCAATACACAATAATGAGGCTTCCCTGACAAAACACGATACAATTGAATCAATTTATTGTTTGCTATGATAAAAACACAATGGAAAGTTTGATTTATTTCTTGTTTGAATAACAATGAATCTATGAGCAAAAATAAAATGTGTTTAAAAGTTAATGTTTTTTATTTGCCTAGTGCCTAAAGGTCCGTAGGTTCGAACCCCAGCCATGTGCATATACATTATACATATAACTAAATCCATATAAACCAATGGATTTAGCTACATATGCACATTCAATATTCGTTCGTACGGTGAAGTAAAACATCATTAGGAAACCGGCATGCCTTAGAGCCCAAATGGTTGACGGCATCAGGCACAGAAGGCTGATCACCTTTTTTATTGTAAAAAACGTTCCACAACTGAGCGTTTTCTAAGGCAGTTTTTGCCGCGTACCACCCCAATGTGGAACCAGCTGCCCACTGCGAGCCTTCTGGCAGTGTGTGTCCATAAGCGGCGGTATCACTTAACATCAGGTGAGCCTCCTGCCCGTTTGCCTCCTATTACATAAAAAAAAAATAACTACGAAACATATACAGGTTGTAACGCACCTGGCTATTTTTTACTGTAACTTAATTTAGAAAAGTTAGAGTTGTTAAAATATTATACATAGTACATATATGTTATATCATTGATTTATTAATTATTAGAATGATATACATATAATTCAATTAAACATAAATAAAGAAAATGCAAATTGGTTGAAAGTTAATGGTTTCAACGTGTGACTTATCCTTGCGGTCGTAGGTTCAATCCCCGGCTGTGCACCAAAGGACTTTCTGTATCTGTACGGTGAAGGAAGACATCGTGAGGAAACCGGTATGAATTAGACCCAAAAAGTCGACGGTGTGTGTTGGGCACAGAAGTTTGATCACCTACTGGTCTATTAGAAATGATCACGGAACAGATACAGAAATTTGAGGGCCAGATCTAAAATGTTGTAGCGCCATTTGTGTTGCGCCAAAGAAAGTTGAAGCCACTGAATGGTTTTGAGCTGCGTAATATTGAACCTGGTCCGATAACTGACTGTTATTTTAAATCACAAATTATTCTTTGAATAACGTAGAATATTCTATATACCTAAGTATAGGAGCGAGGTATCTGAATCAAATACTGAGTTACTTTTTAAGCAATATTCATTGATTTTCTAGCGAACCTTTATGCGTGCGTTGCTAAACGCAGTAATTGTTAGAAGATTAGTGACCTATTAAAAAAAAAATTTACTCGCTTATAATTGAATGAGATTAAAACAAATGTTTCTTTTGTTTTAAATAATGTTTTGTTTTTGTAGTTGATGACAGTGTTCTCGCTACCACGGTAAAGCAGCTAACTCCAGCGAAATTGGGGGGCTCCGTAGTTCTGCGATGTGAATTGTCGCCGCAGATAGGGTTCACGGATATCAAATGGCTGCAAGATGGACTTCCACTCACAACAGGATACATGGGAACAGGTTGGTAACACTGCACATGAGCAAGAAGTTATAAAACTAAATAGGATAGACTATCCTATTCAGCCATATTTGTGATTCTTCCCTGGCTACTACAGTAAGCATTTTTTACCTGTAGTCAACGGTAGTAGTATTAGAGCAGTGTTGCCCTAGTGGCTTCAGCGTGCGACTCTCATACCTGAGGTCGTAGGTTCGATTCCCCGCTGTGCACCAATGGACTTTCTTTCTATGTGCGCATTTAACATTTGCTCGAACGGTGAAGGAATACATCGTGAGGAAACCGACATGTCTTAGACCCAAAAAGTCGACGGCGTGTGTCAGGCACTGGAGGCTGATCACCTACTTGCCTATTAGGTTTAAAAATGATCATGAAACAGATTCAGAAATCTGAGGCCAAGACCTACAGAGGTTGTAGCGCCACTGATTTTTTTTTTTTATTAGTCAACGGTAATAATTTAAATATTGCTTGTAAATTAGTTACAGTTAAGTTAATGCATTTTGTGTAAACCAGCTCGCCTAAAGACGGAAGAAGGTATTTTATGTTATATTAGATTATTGTAAAATAATAGTCTAATGTTTTGAATATATTATTTAAATTACCGTTTCATATTGAACCGTACACCGTTTATGTGTTTTAAATCTTTTTAGATACCAGATGGATATCAGGTGCTGGTGGGTTGTTATTAGGATCAGATTTGACACAGGCTGACGTAGAAGCAGAGTATTCGTGTATTGCGGTAGACACACCTAGTGCTACATTAAAACTAACTACAGACGGTAAGAATTAATTATTAGATGTGTTAATTAAGAACACGAAAACCTCACAGTAATTTTTTTTTAATTTTTTAAAGATTATAATTTCCATAAAAAAATAAAAATCATTCAATTTACGCAGTTTTATGCATCCGTATAAGTAAGACCAAGCAGAGTTTTCTTTTTGATATAAAATTGATATGAAGTTTGCTAAGCTAGTTACAACCAAATTCATAACTTAGTCGACATCACAGGGGGAACGCTGCCAGTATCTTCGGAACCTTGCCTAAAGTCACTCTTAATAATATATTTTAGTTATTATATTATATTTTTTGTCAATAATTACTTGAAGACTGATAAACGTAGTATCATATATTATTGTATACATAGTTACCTATGTAATTATTAAACTTAATTTATATTTTAAAATATTTAAGATAAAATATATACACATAGTATCATTAAAAAGTTCCGTGTAAAACTCAAAGAAGTCAATACAATTATGATATTAAATGTGTAAGTAAAAGAGATTTTTTTAATAGAAAGCAGCTGGTTGGAAAGTGTTGAAGTAAATTCCATTGAAGCTCGCGTTGGTGATACAGCTATTTTACCGTGTGTATTTCGACATATCAACAGATATACTATTACGTAAGTATATTATTTCTTGGTTATTGTGGTTATAAACGTTTATTTTAAACTAAATATCATAATTTAAAACAGCAAGTGGCGAGGAGACCAACATATCCAAATTCTAAAGCGTTGAAAAGAAAACTGAGTAACGAAATAGACGAAAAGATGTGACGTCATACTACTTAAAAAACATGATTCCTCAAAAATGCATACACATAATGTACAACAAATCCTTAAAATAAAATATATATAATAATAATATTAATTATATAAATAAAAATGAATCGCAAAGTACGTTGCTAAGCGCAAAACTCGAACACGGCTGGACCAATTCCAGTAATTTTATTGATTTATTCCTTGAACTCTGAAGGTTTTTTATCTTTTAAATAGTACTTAGGTTTTTAATACTGAAAAGCGACAGTCCCTATGGGGTAGCATAGCAAAATGTTTCTAAAAAGGTAGGCTAATTAAAAAATCATATTAAGGCGAAGCGAAATTTGTGTGGGCAGCTAATTACATAAAATTATTAAGTTGCTACGGTAAATCCGATCCACGATCACATAAAACATGTATTATGTCAAAGACAGTATTTAGGCACAATGACTTTGTTACCGGAATTAAAATTCAACGTCCCATGCAATTTATTGCTTTAACTTTTCTATATTCAACATTGTACTATTGGTAGAAACGCACACATGCTATGCACATGATATATTTTAAATCTAAATTCCATGTAACTAAAGTGATACTAAATTAAAGATATTGTTGCACGCTTATACTGCCCGCGATTTATATTCTAAACCAAGATTTTTAAAACTGTGAAAGTGTTTTGTTATGTGATATATAAGTAGTCTGGCCTTAAGTTAAAGTTGAAGCTGAAGACTGGCCCTCATCTAGCCCAGACCTCAACCCTTTAGACTTCAAATTATGGTCAGTTTTAGAGGACCATGCCTGCTCTAAACGGCACGGCGACATTGAGTGTCTTAAAAAATCTTTGGAGCATGCAGTGGCGAAATTTCCCTTGAAAACAGTGCGTAAATCCATAGATTCGTGGCCAAACAGATTAATGGCCAAAGGTGGCCATTTCGAATAGGTTTTTTTTTTGCGGAGACTTTAATTAATACGTAGGTATAAATTTAAATAATATTACATTACTTCATTAAAAAAATGCATTTTCATTTGTAACTGGATTTATGACTGGACTAGGTATAATCTTTATGTCAGAGCAGAACTAAAGTCGACGCATTCGCATTCGCAAGCCATTGTTATTGTGGGATTCATGAGCGCCTGTTATCAGTAGAAGCCTTCGCATGCCCCTTTATTCAAAGTATGTATTTAATTTTTTATAACAGTTGGCAACGACAAGATGCGAGTGGAGTTTGGGTGACTGCGTCAGGGGAAGGGATAGTTCGTAGTGGGGCATTAATATTACCTAATGTGAGACTACATCACGCGGTCAGATACGCCTGCTCACCTGGTACTGAAAGCACACCACGTATTATTGTGAGATTGGTTGTACATGAGCGGTTAAGTGTGACCGTCACTCCAAACCCTTTGGTAAGTATCTACAATATTAAAATATTTTATTTAATTTGATTTTTTTTTTGATTTAATATAACTAAAAAAAGTGTATATTGTACTGCATTCGCCTGTTCGTCCAGTGTCGTACGATTTTATAGTAAGAAACATCACTTCTCGATTTTTAAAGAATGATAATTGATATATAAAGCTATAGTTAGAAGCACAGAACGGACAATTTTCAGATGTTAGGTACTGGAGGTTCTGGTCATTTTAACTGTTCGGTATCCGGAGGTAGAGGTGGAGGGGTCACTTTAAGCTGGCAGCATGAAGGCAGACCGTTGCATTCTCCACAAGCCAAGCTTACCTTGGGACCAGTAAGGTCGCACCACGCTGGCCTTTACCAATGCACAGCATATGATCACTCGGATTCAGCCGTATCTGGAGCTGAACTTATTATTGCTGGTAATATTTTGCACAATTCGTTTTACATATGACTTTGTATGGCGACGGGATTTTTTATTTTATATTAAAACTAGTTGACCCGGCAAACGTTTGTTTTGCCATGTCTATTATTTCTAGGAAACATTTTTTAGTTCAATAAAAAACTATCTACAATTATAAAAAAATAGGAGTTGATCGTAGAGGTGTGAAAATTAAGGGTTGTATGTATTTTTGTATGCTGTACAAAAAAAATTCTAAGAAGTAAAAAAAAAATGTTTGGTGTGGACACACCGCTTGTTACTTAGGGGTTTGAAATATAGATAGTAGCCGATTCTCAGACTATCTAAATATGCATAAAAAATTCATAAGAATTTTTCGAATGTTTCGGAGGAGTGTGGGAATGAACATTATTACACGAGAATTTTATATATATAGAGATATTTTATAATTTAATAGGTATATAGTAACTCAAGTTGCCTTGATCGCTTTCTAGAGATAAGAGCCCACATATATTCTATAAATCAAATCTTATAAAGTTGTTTATGTTATTTTTTTAATCACACACGGAGGCCGTAAAGAGGTTCCCGTAAATATATATTAACTACGTTTTAGACAGACCTCCAAGGCTGGTAACGACGTTCAGTGAGGCCATAACTCGTGTTGGACAAAGCATTGCTCTAAGATGTGCCGCTACTGGTATACCACCACCAAGAATATTCTGGACTTTAGATGACAGACCGCTTCCATCAGCGCCTGAAAAGTAATAATTTGAAATATAAATCTTTCTTATAAAATAAAAAAAACTAATCAGCGGCGCTTCAACCTATTTTTTAGGTTTTCTGTATCTGTTTCATGATCATTTATAAATCTTATATGCAAGTAGGTGATAAGCCACCTGTACCTGACGCACGTCGACTTTTTTGGTCTAAGACATGTCGGTTTCCTCACGATGTTTTCCTTCACCGTTCGACCAAATGTTAAATGCGCACATAGAAAGAAAGTCCATTGTTGAACAGCCGAGGATCGAACCTACGACCTCAGGATTGAGATGCGCACGCTGTAGTCACTAGCCAACACTGCTATAAAATCGTTCTTATAATACAACTTATTTAACAGACAAGGCTTTAATATATTTTAAAGATTCTATAAGAGAAAATATGTTTTAATATTTGTCATAATATTTCTAATTGTAACTTAACAATCTAAAAAAGCATCGAGTATTGAGATTAACAAGGCAATTTTCCTATGAAAATATTTATAAATTAAATTGTGGCTTACGTTTTAAGATATACAGTAAATACAAGAGCTGAGTCACTCCCTGGGAGTGAGGAGGGGAGTATCATATCAACATTAAATATAAATATTAGGACTGCTGATGAAGGTGGGAGATATGGATGTAATGCAACAAACTCTGGTGGGTCGCAGTCGCACCACGCAAGGCTTAACGTTTTTGGTAAACAAGTTATAATATTTATATACATTACGTGTTATTTGATACTTTAGAAGATTTTAAAAGGCCTTCTGGCAGTATGAGTAACCGTGGACAGTGGTATCACTTAATATCCGGTGAGCTTCTTGCCCGTTTACCTCGTGAATTATTAATATATATTAATTAATTTAACAATATGAATAATGCTGAAATGTTTAGAAGAAAGATAAATATGACAAATGGGACACGCGTCCGTCAGCAGCAAGTTCGTTATAATAATAAAAGCTAAATTATATTATAAATTATGTATGTAATGGATAGTAAATAATACGATTGACATGTTACAGGTCCCCCAAATATTAGATATTTACCACCAATGCACGTTAAAGTAGAAGCTGACGTAACAATAAATTGTCCTTACTCAGGATATCCTATTAAGTAAGTACATACATAAAACTATTATATAATTAGCAAGGCCCAAGTATGTAATTTTTTAATACTATAATACATTTTTCTCTCTTAATATGTACCCAGTAATAACATAGCTACTAAAAACAACAGCTTGTTCTGTTTGATGTTTGCATAATAAAAACAAATAATATTCAACGATAATACGGAAGTATGGATAGTGCTTCATTTACATTTTACTTCACTTCACAATAAAACGAATAATTCACTATGCTTTCATGCTATATATTGCAAGGTAAAACCGATGATGATTACAAATAAAGACTATTAAGTATAATAAGTAGTAACTTATAAATATACATACAGCAATAAAAAATCGTATTACTCTGGTATTACTTCGGCCTCGTGAATAAACCTTATACACAATTTTATAATACATATATACAAATCTTAATATTATATTGCTGAGCAATTTTTCAGAGAAGTTATATGGAGACGTGAAGATGGCTCTATAGTGGAGTCACCCATACAATCCGGTGATAACCGAGGTTTATTAAGATTGACATCTGTGAGAAGTTCCACCGGGGGAGGGTACACGTGTGAGGTCAGAGCGGAGAGTGGGGAGTTGGCTAGACGGACAGTTCGAATCGAAGTGCATAGTAAGTAAACTTAACTTTTTTACATTTATAACATTTTAATTCTTAATAGAACTGACGATATATTGTTAATCTACGGGTTTTTGTTTTACAATTCTGAATAAACGATTATGATCAGTCATTGCAAGGCTATGTGGGTAGGTCATCCACAATCATCGTTACAAGTCTACCCTCTCTTTCTTAATTTTTTAAATGCGGCTATTTAATTCATCCTCCATAATAATAGAGTATTTCAAAAGTACACTTACTTTTGAAACACTCTTATTTAAAGTTTCGTCATAATCGAAGATATTTAATATTACGTATATAAATAGTTTAATATTAGTAGAAGTACAGTACTGCAACATGAAAAAAAATTGGTGGATATTGGAACACAAAATATATTTAACCCCAGAATTTTAGTATCATTGTGTAAAAGTTGTTTGAGTGACACTATAATTATAGGTATATACTCGCGTTTCCATCTCACCAGCCCCCATATCCATCATATTTCTATACCCCACAAGAAATATGAAGGTACTATAAGTATGACGATTAATTCATTGTTTAACAGAGCCACCGAAAATAGTTCCTTTTCAATTTCCTGAGGAATTAGAAGTTGGAGGAAGCACACAAGCGACGTGCAGCCTAGTATCAGGAGATAAACCAATCCAATTTTCGTGGCATAAAGATAATTTACCTATTCCTTCTGTTTTGAAAGTAAGTTAAATAATTTGTTTATTGGTTAATAAAAATTAAATTTTTTGCTTTGTCATATTTTTTTTCAAGTTAGACAGTAGAAAAATAGTCTTTGTATCTTTACTATATTGAAAAAAATAAAAAAACACTAACTAACATATTAAAAAATGGTAATTTCCCAGCTTACAAGAAAAAGCTTTTGTTTCAAATAGTTAAATTAATTAATTATTACCACATTAATAAAAGACGTAATAACATATTCGTTTAAAGGTTGAACAGAAAAATATGGATTTTTTCACGATATTGGTGATACAAGATTTAAACTCAATGCACAGTGGAGAATACTCATGTCGGGCCACCAATGACTTTGGCACTGTTAGTCACTCTGCATCTTTAGTCGTCAAAGGTATTTACTCGTAATAATATGTATCTAATATTATTTACACTTCATATTATTTTTAATATAGAGATATTGTCTTTCGTCCATTCAAGTACACTTTTAAATAGATACTACAGAAATTATTAAAAATAATTTTAAACGTTCATCTCTTTTGTTTTGTAATTAAGGTAATTCGTGTTTATAACCGCAAGTATCGATAACTAATCTATCAAAAATGTAACTGTGAAAGTTTGAACAGTGACGAAGTCGAATATGCCAAAAAAGGTTAGGTATAGTACAGGATATAACTCCGTTGCCGTGCTATTCTTTTATTCGCAGAGTTCGCAAAAGCAAAAAGCTCCATTTGTTAAAACCGAGATTGACCCAATTCTTAATACTCACAGAAAGGCACTTAAAACTAAAATTCAAAATAAGAATGAGATGATAAACGAAACAGTTTCGCTACAGAGGCACCGTTGTGGGTGTGGCGAGCACAGAACACTTCAGTATCTGCAGGAGCAGCTGTTCTACTACCATGCTCCGCCAAGGGACAACCACAGCCGAGAATATCTTGGGAGTTTTCTACTGGTATGTTCTGTATAAAATATTAGATCGCTAAAAATATTAAAAAATCCATTAAAAAGATTAATAATAATTGTTTCCATTATTTATGGAGAATAGTTGTTACTTTTTATGCTGTTACGTTTACTTGATGAAGTTTTATTATTGATTTTTTCTGTGGTAATAAAAAAATTAAGTGAAAATTTAAATTGTGTTCCTAATGTTCCTACGAATGTACTTCATATTTATTTACTAAATTAAGCACCAAATAATAAACAAAGTCTAGGATTTTTTTAAATTAAGAAATTTAGCCCCTGTTATGTATTTAAAATTGTATTCAGGTACAATAACGATTTGTTAGAAGTCATATATTTAGTTCAATTAATATACGGTTAACAAATAATATCCCCAGAACCACCTACGACTCGTGGCGTTAATTAGAAACTAATGCATATTTGGTAATTGTTTTATGTAGATAGTGAAAACTGGCGTCATATCCTATGGGGTCAGTCAGAAACTAGTGAGCTTAGTGAAGGATCCATTCTCTCGGATGGTACGGTGTGGCTACGTGCTGCAACTCCAGACCACGAAGGGTGGTACAGGTGTACTGCCAGAGTCCAGCATTCTTTCCTTCATCATGTGTTCTTTTTGGATGTTAGAGGTATATGTTACATGCGCACGAATAGTTAATAACCCAACTGCTTTTAATATTACTTGTATTAAATTAAATCCAGATATTCACTGTATCATACAATCATTTGTTGTAGCCTGAAATAGACATAGTGTACATAGAATAGTTTTATTTTGGAATATATTTATTAGATTTTTGACGGAGATTCAGATCATAATTTTTTATTTTCAGCTTCCTTCTTTGACCTATTCGTATTGTTTTTTTTATAAAGGTGCAAATATATATTATTATTCATTTCTTGTAATAAATATTTTTAGTATTTACAGCCTATATAATGCAATGGCTAATACATGGAGTATAACCTGGTTCTATTCTCAGAAAAACAATATCTATCCTGTTTTCTGACACAAAGATAAACCACTTGTCTTAAACAAATTTATTAATAGATGCAGAAATGTATCGGCCTGTTCTTAATAGCTACATATTACAGAACCACCTAAGCTAAGCCGAGGCAGTGGGACCGGGGAGACACAGTGGGTGGTACGTGGTACTCCAGCGAGACTCACATGTAGTGTCAGAGGGGAGCCTGAGATCCACGTACATTGGACACACGATTCCCGACCACTTGCTTTGCAGTAAGAATCTTATATTGTACTTAATGTATTAAATAGTAAATGTTTCGCGATTAAATAGAAAGATCCTAACACAGATCTTTATAAAAAAGTGTATGTTATATTTTATTTTGTTGTTATACAGAATTCGAGATTTTCGGAAATTTGCAAATAAAAAAAATACTTGCATTTATTATTACTGAAGTAATTATTGATTCACTAAGTATCGAATCTAGGAGCACGTGTTAATTATTGATTACCCTTCAATGAAATTAAAATTTTTAACGATACGATTATTTTTGTCCTCTTTCTTTCCTAGAGATATTACAATTATAAATAGAGATAGATAGATTTTAGAGTAACAAACGCTAAACGTCAAAATTATTAGCAAGTACCAAGGTTGTTTGTTGTCTCTTTGCGAGTAATTTTGTAATTGTGAATACACAATTTTCATGCAATATCAGTTTCAGTTAATAATTGTAAATACAAAAAATTGTGTTGTGTTACCATACACAAGGTATTCTTGTCACGTAATGTATTTAATTTGGTTTTTGATGATCATATTGTTATCAAATGATGTCATTAATACCTTAGAGTCTTCTACGTAAAGTACTAGCTTAGGTTTAAATATAGTTTAAAGCCGGTATACTAGTGATGAATTCTGTGGTTAAGAGGGTTAGTGTCAGGCGACGGATATGACCTAATTTCTACCTAACCTAACGGCCGAAGCTTTGAAAATTTAAGTGAGACGCAGGTGCAACTCCTAGTAGGAGTTGCTTTACCTACGTTTAATAACATTATCTAAGCGTACTTTGCCTTTGAACTATTTTAGATAGTTTGCTCTAACACAATTAATAACTATACGCAATATTTTTTAAACATCTTTCTTTCTGTCAACATTAAAGGTACTTTATTACGTTATAGTTTACGTTTAACGTAAATATACTTTGGTAATAAGCTTTTGGACTATATTTATTTGCTAATTATAAGTAGCCAGGGGCGCCTATATGGTCTGTAGCGCGTTGGCTACAGTATGCGTTCGCTTCTTTGATTTTTTTTAGTAACAGTAACTAATCAGCCTTTTGTCCCAGACTAAAGTCGTTAATTTTTTATTTTTTCAAACTTGCCGGTTTTTGCTTACAATGTTTGCCTTTATCGTACAGCAAGTGTTAATCGCGCAAATAGAAATACATATATATATTGCTGTATAGCCGTGATTCGAACTCACAACCACAAGCTTGAGATTCGCATGCTAAAGGCCAACACTAGTATTGATTTAGTAGTAATTTAATAGTATGGCGATTGTATATTTGTACGAGCATCTTTAAGGAGGGTTCAAAGAGGCTTCCTTTATAATAGAAGAACAGAAGAATTTTCTCTCAAAAGACCGTCCACTTAATACTTCCAAGTTCCAACCAGTCTAGTATTATTTGTTGGTAAAATCAAATACATCTAACACCATCCTCCTTTTAAAATATCTGCAGGTTTTTTAAATATAACCTTAATAAAGAATAAACATTTTTTGTCTCAGTGGTTCAGGAGGCGTAGAGATGCGCGATTTGGGTAACGGTGCAATGATGTCTGAGATAACAATCACTCATGCTGGGCCTGAACACGCAGGAGACTACCGATGCTTCGCCAGGAACTTGTATGGGACCGATGAACTGGTCTTCAGGCTATTTGTAAAAGGTACAGCCTTAACAATAAACATATTGTATTAGCGGTACTCACAAACGTTAATTAACAGTTAAATGTTACTTTGCAATATTGTAAATTTTTTCGATAAATAATATTCAGAGATTCAGCCAAATACTATGTTTCATTTACTAGTTAAACCTTTATTAGGCGGAGTATTAAAACATAACTAACCGATTTTTTAATAACTATTAATCACATAGTTTTATTTCACAAGCGATTTTTCGAATAACACTACGCAAAAATTGTATTTCTCATTAAAATTAACACGACTGACATTTTAACTGGTTTATTTTTTGTCTCAAGAACGTCCAAGCGTTCCCGAAGAAGTCCGCATATCAGAGGTCTGGTCGAGAAAGGCCCGCATAACATGGCGCGTGACGCGTGGGGCCATAGTATCTCATTATTCACTTCAGTACCGTTCCCTCGCGCGCGACCTCACAAATGCTCCGCTGAACGCTCCGCTTCCCGCTCTTGAAACGTGGGACTCACTTGAAGTCCTCAACATAACGCTGGCTAATTCGGATTTGCTTCATGTCGCGTAAGTTTGCTCAAGCTTATGAATATGTTAATGCCCTACGGATTTCAATTCCGTGACTTATATATTTATGTCATAGTATGTATAATGATATTTAAATAGTTTCCAAAATAGGCTGTTTTCTTTATTTTAACTACATAATTATTATAACAACTTAAAATATAATATATACCTGTTTAGCACGTTATTATTAAAATATAAACTTAAGCACCACATCGTACTCAGGTCAGAAGGGCCGAGTCGGGCAGGGGCATTAGTGTCCGGATTATATCCTGATACTCGCTACGTGCTACGAATAGCCGCCCACAACGATGTCGGAGCTTCCCCGTTCACAACACCTCTACAATTTACTACTAGAGAGGAAGGTATGTAGAGCTTAGCGCTACGCCTTAGTAGAGCTACGGACAATACACGTCACCGATGTACATATTAGTGTTAAGTTATAGATAATTAACATAAAAATAAACATCTGTATAATACTGATAAAAAAATTTTGAGATAAAGTTAAGAAATTGTAAGGTAAAAACAAGAAAATAAATTTTAAAAATGTTATCTTCCTAATGGATTTTTTTAATAACACCCATATATTCATATTGAAAATCCAGCCGCCTTTTAAATGGTCTTCTATTTAATAGACCGTGAACATGTATTTTGTATAAAATCATTATAACGTTTAATTCAATAAAAACGTTTCAAATATACAGAAAAGCGCTAATATTTCACCGAAAAACGTTTTCTTTGTGAAACCTTTTCTCCGATTTATATCACCATTTGCTTGTCAAGATAAAAGTAAACAGATTTGGAACGGTTTTATTTTTCTTTGACGCCAACAAGTGGGAAGCTTAGACGGGCACTAAAGTATACAATGATTGAAGCCTCTGGCCTCTTCAGTTGGAAATGGGATTTTGTATATTTTTATAGAACAACTGGCGGCTTATCCGAGGAATATAAATTAAAAAATAATTGATGTTTTTTAATTCGTAATTTTGAGAAAATTCAAAGTTCTAGTATTTTTTTTCCACGCCGGTGAGATAGAGAACTGTCAACTGTGTTGACAGTTAATTCTATCATCGTCACAATTGTATAAATTATAATCTTAGTTTGCCATTCTAATATTATAAAAACGAAACGTTTCCGAAATATTTAAAAAACAATGTAAAATTTTCCCGCGGTTAGTAATACTGTTTATTTGTTACAGTTATACAATGTGATTACAAATAAAAAGTCTTTATATAAATGTATATATTAAACCTTAGCAAGAACAATATTTACTATAGATCTTTAAATACCAAATGGCGCATTCTTTGCTACGGATTTATTTACTAAATATTTATTAACCTTGACGACGTTAAGAAGAAGTCAAAGGTATTATTTTGAATGCGATGTATTTGCAAGAGGGTGTATTTGTTTTTTATGTTTCTATTTCAAATACCGTCTCATTCGTTTTTCAAAAAAACTCCCAAAAGTTTTTATTTTGGAGACATTAAAGGAGTTTATATATTCTATACCTAAAATTGAGAATTAATGTTATATCTTTTATTTAATTAACATCTTCACCTAAAATCATATTCATTAAATATGGGACCAATAAGTGATAAAAATATATGCACTTAATTTTAAATATAAACAGCTTATGAATGGTTATTTAGAGTTAATATAAATAAAAGTTCAAGGTATAAGCATTCATAACGCCTATAGAATTTCTCACTAATTAGCTAAGAATTTAAGTTGAAAGGATTTACTTAAAAGAGGTAGATTTCTGTACAAATTGAAAGAAGAAGAACTTTAGATTTTGTGAAGGTTAACTCTGGACTATCTGATTAGGAGCGTAACTTATTCATATAACTCATTAAACTTTGAAATAAATAAATTGAGTATTAACTATCTTAAAAAAAATTGAATTTGGAAGAAATGAGTTTATCAAATTTTGAGGCGTTATCTACGTAATATCGATGATTTTGTTGGAAGAATAATACTGTTTAGGAAATATGTAATAATTAATTTTTCAAGCTATCAATAACAACTGGTGTTGAACTAACAACAACAATTTAATCTGTAGCGCCTGGAGGAGTGCCACGGGACATATCACTGAGAGCCCTCCGCGCTCGAGAGCTACTTGTCACTTGGCAGGTTTGCATTTTTATTATATCGTTGTAGTATACGCCTTTGTACTATATATTTTATTTGTTTAAAGTCTAAATATCAATATACAGTGGAATCTCGGTAGCTCGAATGACAAGGGAACGGCAAAAAATTCGATTTTTCAACTTAACAAGAACTTCGAGATACGCGATTTCTAAGTGTATTTTACGATTTTTATAGTCGAATTTGAATAATAATTCAACTTAGTTTTGTAGTATATATTTTTAATCAATGTATTCATTCATTGCACGTGTACGAGACAAAAACAATTAGAAGCCCCGAACCCGAATGTTCATTTTAGATTTTATTGCTATTATTTCGGAGAATTACAAGTAAGACATTATATTTTAATAACTACGACTTACAGAGTCTCCTTTTTGAAATTCGAGTTATGGAGTATAAATATCTATTGTCGTAGGGAAAAAACATTTTGTTTGAGTTACAAAGTCTAAATAATTCGAGATACCGCGTATTTAGGGCAATTTTTTTCGACTTACTGAGGATTTCGACTTTACGAGGTTCGAGTTATCGAGATTCCACTCTAATATAGATAATATATTAGTTTATCTGTTTACCACGTGTACACTCACAGCCACCACCGCGTGAATCCTGGCACGGCACGTTACTAGGCTACACAGTTCGATGGTGGGAGGCATCGGAAGAAGGCAAAGGCAGTATGGAAAATGCTTCAGAAAGTGGAGCGAGTTCTGATGCGACAAGTACGACGATACGAGGCCTGAAACCCGCTACACGATACGGAGTTACAGTCAGAGCATATAACGCAGCGGGAAATGGGCCGACATCACAACCGCACTATCGACATTCTCTGGAATCACGTAAGTATATTTTTACGCATAACATGCATGTAATTTGAGATTTATTTCGTATTTAAATTTAATTTGAAGATATTATGTAAAATGTTTTTTGTTACAACAATTGGGTTTGCATAGCACCAAATTTCTGGACCATAAATCTCTGAGACCATAAATAATTATAAACTCGGTAATACAAAAAGTCCCGTTTTATTTCCTCGTCAATATATCTACGTCAGAGACATGATACGTGCGTCATAAATTTTCCTATCAAAATGCAAAATGGCTTAATTGGACCGTGGCTTTTTCGATCCAGGTCAAACGATTCGGAACAAATTGATAGCACTTTTATTTTTAAACATTAAATTGTTTCTTTCATCAATTGTCTACCATCCTATGAGTATTGGAGACTAGTGATATACTCTGGATACCCACGCTTTAACGGATATATTCTTAAGCGGGAATATATCCCCACTTATAGCTAACTCCAAAGTAACATACTAAAAAAAGATATATGCTTCATTTTCAGACACCAAAAACCCATTTTTTGTTAAAAAAATATTTAACTCTTTATTGCAAAAACGTTTTGAATGAGTAACCTCAAATTAGTATACGTGAATGACATAAACCAAATACAATAATGTAGATATTTAAAAAATCACAAACTTACTTACCCCATATTGTAGTTCTCAGAAAGTCAAATTTATATTATCAGAAACAAGTTAGATAGTTTCGTAACCGAACATCTTCATACTTCTATAAAGGTCGAGACAGCTTCATAATTACTTTGTAACTGATAGTTCTCCACATTTTCCACTTTGGCTCTGTTTAAACGGAAACTGTCTTGGAAGATGTCAGATTCCAAGCGTGACTTGAATTCTTGCTAAGTTATTTATGATCCTAGTCACTTATACTCAAACCAAATTTCAAAGTTCACGTTTAAATTTAGCTATTGTTTTGTATAAACAAATATAATTATATATATCTAGTTTGCTAGAATCTATATATGTTCAAATAGTTTTATACGATCAGTAATAGACAAATGTTTAAATATATTTGACGTAAGAACAAAAACAAGCAAACCAAAAAAATAATGAGTAACGTTGATAATATTGCCTAATGAAAAATACAGAATTTTAAAATTGCCTAAGATATTATAAAGAATAGGACTATTTTTTTAAATTATTGTAATACTTCGAGATTCGAAACGAACTAAAGCCTTTTCTGTGTAAAGTGAAAGATAATAATAAACAAGTGACTGCTATATAATATTATCTTCCTTTGTTTTGGGGAAAAGCTAGAAGTAAAGATACGAAATTACTTTTTAACAGATTGATTTGGATTTTTCTAAATACTCATATTTAACAGCCCCAAATGGAAGTCCAGAAAGCCTAGCATGCGTTTCAAGCGGTTCCACATCGCTTCGCGTGTCATGGCGGCCGCCCGCCCTCGATTCAAGGGGCGGGCTTATCACTCACTACACTCTACAATACACCCGGCGCGATGCCGATCCATTACAGCCAGTGCAGGATGCACATTTACGTGTTCAGGTATGATTGAAATTAAAAAAAAGGAATATTCGTATATTATTAATTCAGTATTATAAAATTGACGTGTTGCAATGCAAGCAAGGCTTCCTCACATAAATGAAATAAACACAATACAAACCTCATTAATTTTAATGAAGATATCTCTATCTTATATTTCAACTTAGCTCTTGTAAATTCACGTTTAGCTTCATCATATCGAAGCACTTTCAATGCCAGGTACATTGTTGATTTAGCCTTTTATAGTACACATTATTCGTGACGTCTATGCCTTATTCTAATTGCGCACCAATACTTATTAATATGTAAATACAAACGTATGAAAACCTTGCATATACCTAGAATATACTAAGCATTCATAAGATAAATAAAGGGATCTTTCAAAATACAATTGATATACACACTTTAATTACGCGAAAATAAGATATATAAATATTTTTATTGAATTACTCGATAACATTAAAACGTGATTATTTGACATTCATAAATTTAACCATACGAATAAAACTAATTGTTTAATTAATATTAAACAATTAGTTTTAGCGTTTAATTAATATATTTAATAGGGTGAAGAAACAACAGTGTCTCGCCTTACACCATTTGCTGAATACGACATAAGAGCCCGTGCACACAATGCTGCGGGAGACGGCCCCTTATCTCCACCACAAGTCTGTAGGACTGATGAAGACGGTAAGAAAGACTTCATGAAATTATTTTTTTAAATTACTATATTAAGTTATAATAGTTATATTATACAACAGAAAGTTTTGGGCTCCCAGCTTAACAATACAAATTGTTACGGGTTGTTGTTATTGCCCTAAAAACACATCATTGAATTAGACACATAAATTGTCTTTGTTAGTTGTCGTCCTCGAAGATACCGGTACCTCATTGGAAGTGTACCTGAAATATGCATATAATTATAATATAGTAATATAGCTGACCCGGCAAACGTTGTTTTGCCATGTATATTATTTCTAGGAAACATAGGGGATGATCGTAGAGGGGTGAAAATCAAGGGATGTATGTATTTTTGTATGCTGTATCATAAAAAAATAAAAAAAATTGTTTGTTGTGGTCACCCCTTATTACTTAGGGGTTTGAAATATAAATAGTAGCCGATTCATAGACTCTATATATAACATTGTGACAATTTTATATATAGAGATACAATGTGATTGTATATATTTCTTATAATTGGAGCAATATTATTTATAATCGTAGTTCCAAGTGCACCGAGTGGCATCAAGCTGATTGCTCTAAGTGAGAGAGCTCTTCGCGCCTCCTGGCTACCTCCCGTAGAACCAAATGGAAGGCTGACACACTACTCGCTCTATATCAAGGATCTGGCAGGGTGAGGAACGCTTATTAGTCATAATTTTTTGTTATTGTAAATGTTGTGTTATTAATTATTTAATATTTTTTGTTATTGTAAATTTAAACAACTACGTGGGAACTAATTCGATCGCCGCATACACAAAACCTGCATCAGTTCTACGAATCACGCATTTATTGAAATATTGTTAAATCAATTAAAGCTATGGTAAACATTAAAATTAATTTAAAACATCACTGATTTTCGGTGAGCCATAGATAGCTCTACTACACATATTTATATAGTAACACATATAGTAAAAAATCTACTAATAAATTTTTTATTCAACTTTAATAATACATAACTTACATTAAGATAACAGAATCACAAATTTCATTTGAGTTTTGTACAATAGAATACAATAATTTAGTCATATAATGGACTTAATTCAATAACTTACATAAATTATGCATATAGAACATAGATAAAAATAGAAAAACACTTTTTTTAACGGATTTGAAGTTATGTTTTAATATAAATTTACAATTATTTTACATAATTTTAAATTTAACCGACGTTTCGCGTGCTTTACAGCGTGCGTGGTCACGGTGACTGAAGACAAAAGGTGTTGAATGTCAAAAAGTATCACAGCTGTAGAAAAAGTTTTGTTATCTGTATTTATTTCCCCGGAGTTGGTATCGACTAAAAGATGTAGGGTTTTGGCAAAAATGGCTCACATAACTTCAAATCCGTTAAAAAAAGTGTTTTTCTATGTCTAAAAGTTATGTACTATATATATGTATATACTATATATAAAAATGTATATGTTTTAAATTAATAATGTAATCGCTCTAACAAAAACGTATTGTTTAAACGTTAACTGAATACAATTACAACCATAGCACACACGCATTACACACTTAAAATGTACCTTCTTCTTTAAAAGAATCAGAAAGAAAAATTGTTATCTCTCATTCTTTTTTTTATTTTTTTCTTTGATTATTGTTGTTTTGTGTGTGTGTTTTGTTAGTAATTTATATTATGTCTATATCTATGAATAAATATAAATCCCGTTTAGCAATTTAAAAAGCTGACCTTCAACTAGGTCCCAAGAAGCGAACGTAACCCGAGTGAACTCGTGTACGGAGAGCGAAGGGTCTACGGTGGAATGTATGAAGACGTTAAGAGGTTTACGTTCAGGAAGAACATATGAAACCTGGGTTAGAGCAGCCACTGGCGCTGGAGAGGGACCTACCTCCACTGTGGTAGAGTGTCAGACGACCGCTTTGGGTTAGTAAGAACAGAAGTATGGATAGACAATGTAGGGACACCCATCCATATTATTCTGACAAGGTTTTTGCGGATTAGTATTTTGTTACACATATGCTCACATCATTATCCACTCTTTTCACTCCGATCAAGTTTACAAAACTTTTGTAAAAGGGTTTAGTTGTTACGTGGAAAGTTCTTTCAATTCACAACCTTCACATAAACCCTAAAGACTAAAAAAAACCAAATAAACATTATCTATTACGTGAACGTTAATTATTTTTTGATAAAAACACCTTATATTTTTCATGATTTTTGAAAAACGTATTTAAATTTGTCCTTCGTATTATATAGCTTCTTGACTCTTCTATCTAGCTGTTGTACTAAACATTACATATTTACCTTATAGCTCCAGCCCGAATCTCATCGTTCGGTGGAGTAGCTGTAGGATCAGCAGGCAACGCCCTATCACTTCGTTGTGTAGTGGGTGGAGTCCCTCCTCCTTCCAAGCGATGGCTCCGAGGTGGGAGTCTACTTCACATTCGAACACCATTCCATTTGGATGGAGATGCTTTGATGATAAGGAGTAAGCAACTCTTGGTTGTCTTGACATAACTTTCATTCGCATATATCTACTGATCTTCTCGTAATCGAAAAACCTAAAGAAAATTGTATCGTAATGAAACCCAAAGAATAAGGCAAACATTAAAATCAGTCCTATTATTCTACTATCGATACAATCAAATATTTCTTAACAATATATTTCTAGACCTGGAACTCCAACACGCAGACAACTACACGTGCGTAGCAGAGAACCCCCATGGATCAGACTCGGTGACGTGGCGGGTTTTTGTCTTACGACCCCCGTCTCCGCCAGGGTTGGCACTTATTGAAGCCAGGTCTAGAGAACTAGAACTGGAGATCAGAGCTTCTCCAAGAGTGCCAGGACATGCCATCCCTAAAGAGTATACACTGCATTGGAGGCTTGCGGCACCTGAGGTAATTTTCATGTCTTATACCCGTATAATTATTGACCCTCTTTAAATGTATAACCTACATTTATTACGCCTTTAGCGAATAATCTCTATATATATAAAATTCTCGTGTCACAATGTTCGTTCCCATACTCCTCCGAGAGGGCTCGACCGATTCTTATGAATAGTTTTATGCATATTCAGTTAGTCTGAGAATCGGCTACTATCTATATTTCAAACCCCTAAGTGATAAGGGGTGTCCACCCCAAAAAAAAATATTTTCTAGATTTTTGTTTTATGATACAGCATACAATACCCTTAATTTTCACCCCTCTATGATTAACCCCTATTTTTTATTTGTTAATTAAAAACTTATGACATAAACTCTGAGGTTTATTCAGAGAAAAATTCACAGAATAACCTAAAAAGTTTTAATTCCGGAAAACCGAACAATCTCTGGGGTAGTATAGCAAAATGTTCCATGTTGGTATGTACTAAAAAGGTAGGCTAGGACAAAGTTCGCGGGGGCAGCTAGTATTTTATAGATTTGATCCTTTAATTGTCATTTTAATTGTTAAAAATTGTATAACGGTGCGTACAGACTATATAACATAACATGTTATACAACATTGCTATACAACATGTTTCAGATAATACACTGAATTTAAAAAATGTTAAATACATTTATAATCTAGACGAACCCAGCATCTACGTTTTTTCTATTTAAAATGGTAAAAACATTGTTAGGGTTTTTTTAATGTGTACAGTATTGTTTTAGTTATAATGTTGAATAAAGGTTGTATAATATGAGTGTTATAAACACATATCATTGAATAGTCTGCACGCACCCTAATAAATATATCATTGAATATATTAGTTTGTTAATAAAACCGTCGATATGTAATTGAAGTTACGTATATTAAATTTTACTAAACAATAAATTGTAGTATATCTCACTTCCTTTGTAGGTATTTTAAATTCTCTAATATAGGGCTATGTGCTCAAATTATAAAAATATTCACAGTAATATTCATCACATAATTTTAAATAGTAAATGTTAATGAAGACCTTTTTGTGGATAAAATTATTCAAATATGATATATAAAGTGGTACATCTGAAGGTATTTGAAAAAAACGAAGCACATCATGCTTTCCCGTTAGACAGCAGGCTGAGGCCGATTGTCCACCACCGACGTCACCGGGACGTCTCCGAGAACGAGATTATTTCGGGCCGAGTTTAAGATGACGTGACGGCGTACGTGTGTCCACCGCGCCGATATATCAGTGGCTCAGTTCTAGAGTTTTGTCGTGCGTGCGCGTATTTCTTTTTAGTAGAAATAAAACAAACTAGGAGGATGGCTAGTTTCAACCGGCGACTTTCTAGAGAACAAGATTATTTCGGGCCGAGTTTATAATGACGTGACCGCGATCGTGTGTCCACCGCGCCGATATATCAGTGGCTCAGATCTGGAGCTTTGTCGTGCGTGCGCGTTTTTCTTTTTAGTAGAAATAAAACAAACTAGGAGGATGGCTAGTTTCAACCGGCGACAATTGCTTCTCCTGTTTTTAGACGTACGAGGGCGTTCGAAGAACAAGATTATTTCGGGTCACGCCTAACTACTCGTAACATCGGGGATGACGGCGCTCGGGTGACGGGTGTGCGGTGGAAACACGGCCATATTAAATGTATATATCGCTAAATCGGCGCCGTCATCTCATTCTCGGCGACGTCCTGGTGACGGCGGTGGTGGACAAACGGCCTCATGATATAACCAAACCAATAAAAAATGACTAGAAAAATTAACAAAAACTAGACTTAGAAATGTTGCCCTATTCCTTCTTTGGGAATTACAGGACTCATAATATTCTTGTCGTTACTAATGCATCAATTGGATTTGCATAAAGACAAGAATCTAAAATGTAGTTCTGCCCTACTTTCAGTCAATTTGAATAATCTTCTCAAGAGTACTCTGAGAAATTGTATCTTATTAAGAAATAATTTAGTACAACGTAATCTTTTCATTTCTCTAATATTCTTGAATATAAAATGTTTATTTTATTTTGTACTTCGTAAATTTTGTTATGAAACGACTAGAACTGATACTTGGAATAAGAATATAAAACGAAGCATCTTTAGTACTTATGCTTCTTAAACCTACTCACTTGACTTCATCCGACATTGACGACATAAATTCTTGTCTTTCCGTTAGGCATAAGTCTTTAATTATTTCCTTTTATTATTTAATTAAGACTCCTTATAATTTTGTAATAAATACATCGCTATGTTTAAAACGTGCTATAAAATACTTTATAACTTAACCATGACTGGTTAATTCAAAGTATAAAATAAATAAATCAGTGGCCCTACAACCACTCTTAGGTCTGGGCCTCAGATATCTTAATCTGTTTCATGATCATTTTTAATCTAATAGGTAGTAGATGATCAGCCTCCCGTGCCTGACACACACCGTCGAAATTTTGGGTCTGAGACATTTCGGTTTCCTGACGATGTTTTCCTTCACCGTTCGAGCGAATGTTAAATGCGCACATAGAAAGCATCAATGGTGCACAGCTGGGATAGAACCTACAACCTCAGGAATGAGAGTCGCACGCTGAAGCCACTAGGCCAATACTGCACAAAGTATAAGAAATATATAATAATTTGTGCAATAATGTAAAAAAAATAGAAGATTATATAAGAAAAATTTAGGGTGAGATTTATAAACAGAAATTTACCGCGAACTATGATTTCCGTGTTTCGAAGTCTAATATACTTTATGGTAAAAATATAGAGGGTTCTATGTCATTTGAAAAAATTGTTGTCATAATATGTTATGAATAATAGGGCGAATGGAGGGTGCAAACTGTAAGTCCAGGCCCAGCCATTCTCGCCGGCCTTCGATGCGGTTCAGCGTACCGGGCATATGGCTCGGCCGGTGGTCCACCCGGTACTGAGATTTCCATCCGGACCTCAGGGGGTCCCCCAGTACCCCCACCCGATAATAGATGGATCAGGTGCAATGCTACACATGCGCGGTTTGATACCAGCATGTGGTCTGATGGAGGGTGTGGTCCAGTTGCCTTGAAACTGGAGTGGGCTGGGTCAGGTGTGGCAGGAGCTAGAGATGTCCCAGTTGGTGGTGAAGTCATATTGGGAGGTGAGTAAATTCTTTGGTGCATAGAGCATTTCTTTTTCTGTTGTTTTGCTGGTTTTTTTTCGATGCATATTTAAAACAATTATTAATTTGTCAGTAGTCAACTAACGGGAGAAGTATATCGGAATATGGACTCTCAAAAAGCAATCAAGGTTATAAAATATAATCTTTATAGTCATTTTCATTTACCAGGCCTTACTCCGGGATCACGTTACCGCGTGGCAGCCCGTGCTTCGAACGAAGCCGGCTGGACACGGGAAGTCTACGAATTCACTACAAGTCCACCAGAAGGAGGTTACGCGGAAGAGGTAGACGCACCATTCCCCGCTACGGCTGGCGAATTGGCTTTATTGCTCGCTCTGTGTGCAGCTCTCTCCGTAGCGGCACTTACAATACTTGCTATTTTGCTCAGAAGAAAAGGGTAAGCTTGATTTTTCGCATCGTATATTAAAAGAAATATCTCAATTATTTTTACGATATGGCCGAGTAAAAATATACAACCAACCAACCAGAAATAAGACTGTTATGCTCGTATGTAAGTTTTAATATGCACTTTAACTGCATATAATATGAGTTATATTTAATCATAAAAACTAAACCTGTTTTTAACCCAGCGTAAACACCATTTGACGGAAAAATTACTTTAGTTAAAAGAGCAATCAGACAAATAATATGAATTAGGCCTACCACTATAGAGTATAGACTTTATACTTAAATCTAAAACTACAACTAAGTTGTCTACTTAGATTTGCTTATTATGCTTGAGGTACTGATGACATCCACTATAACCAATTACAACAACAATATAAAATATTCGAGAAATCGTAATAAGATTGCGCGTGTTTATTTTTGTCAAATATTTTTTCCAATTCAGTAAATTACAGCAAATAATAAGTTAATTGGAAGGTCTCCAATTTTCGATGTTGCCATGACAACATTTGGTCCCTTTGTGATGATGGTTATTACATTTTCAAAATGATCCCGAACGATACATTATTTCCAAGCAGAATAAGCAGTTTTTTTTTTCATTGAATGCTTTTTATTATTTCATATCGTCTCACAATTAACGTATTAGTGAGTCCATACCGGTTAAAAGTACTTACCAATATTTTTGAAGTTATACTTCTTTAGGCGCGTTATGAGTAATTTATGAGAGTGAAAATTTATGATGCGCGCGCACCGTGACACAAAATTGTCAGTATGGGCGCCGAGCGTGCGCGAGCGAGATGGGAATAAGACAATCTACAAGTAAAAAGAAATAGAATATGCGTGACGTTAGCAGCTAAGCCAAGAATTTTGAATGACCATAATGACATTTGTAGTACCTTTTAAACAAATAAAGGAGTTTTAATTATTTTTCCAAAGAAATTTAGCAATGCTTTTTCACAAAGACCTATTGTTACTTACTTAAAGGTTATGAAACATACATAGTTAATAAATTAAATTAATAATATAATAAAATAATAATTATTATTAATATTAATTAATAATTGAATAATATACTAAATATTAAATATTGTTAAATTATTAACGCTAAATATTTATTATTAATTATTTAATATTTAAAAAAAAATAAAGAAAGCCAAAGAAGTATAAGTAACTTCTTACGTGCGTACATAAGTACACGCACCATTTTTTTTATGTAGCGTTCTTTATATATATAACGTTGGTACTCTATAACGGTACTGATACCGATTCCGACGTTTTGGTGTACATTTTAGATATATTTAGTATCCGAAGCGCAAAGTTACACCTTGTATTGGTGGCAATACAAAACTCAAAATTTAGTTATTAGAAAGTTACGAAGTACGACTGCAGATGTTTAAAAGTACTAAGCACAATAGGAAGTCGTCAGCTCAATAAAAAACAACAAAAAAATCTGTGTATTACAAAAAAAAAATCGGTTTCGTCATCTGTTATCTTAGCATACTAGAAATTTATAATAGCGTGGATCAGTGTACACAAATTGGTTGGACGTTCTTATAAGCGTCTACTAAATACTAAATTTGTGTGTAAATTTGTCTATTAATAAAAAGTTGATTAATATTCATAACGTATTTAAGACTACAAAAAATATTGTTATAATTACACCCAATCACCCAAAATAATTTAGATTTAGACCTTGCAATTTAATGTGAGATTTATTACATAGGACGGATGGTGCAATGCCTCGGGTGACGACAAGTGCCGACAAGACAGCTTGTGGCACGTACAGACCGCCGCACTCTACACCGAAACTACCTCCCGATCCCCCAGGTAAGTCATACAATATATGCAATATTAAACTTTTGACAAATGTTGGCAAAAGGGGACCAATATATTATATATTTTCTTTTGTTGATAAACCTCAAATGCCCACTTTGTTTTATCTTGAATAAAATAAAAATAAAACCATAGCTGCTCTCTTAAATAAATATATAATATTAGAGAAAATTTGATTATCAGTACTAGTATTCCCAATTACTCTTAAAAGTATGCTGATACTGGTATTATTAATTAGTAGTATGAATTTTTATATAGGTTTCAAACACATTTTAACTAGACTGTAGTTTGAACAACTGTTTCGATATAAACCGGAAATCCTTAATTTGATTTCGGAAAACACATTTTTTTAGTTTTAATTAGTAAAATTGATTTTTGTAATGATTACGCTATCCTTTCTATCCTATCCTATCCTAGTTTCCTATAAAATTTAGTGTTGTAAAGCTTTAAAAGTTTATAAACTGGACCAAAAAGAACTCAGTAATCCCGTGCGGACGTCTTTTACTTAGTTGTGCGATCGGATAAAGAATCGCCTTGCGCTGTCGGAATCGGTATTGCTTTTGTAAGTTTCATAGTAACAGCTGGAGTATTTATTACATAGATGTTTACGAGATAAGTCCATATGCAACTTTCGCGGGTGGTGAGGGTGTAGGACCGGGTTCTAGAGCGTACACTTTGCAACTGCGAGCCCTGGCTCGTCATGATGATGATGCGGCACCGCCACCACACAGCACTGATGGTAAGAATAAGTTTGTAAGAATAAAGCAATGCAATGTATTTATCAATTATTTTTACGAGTAATCCTATGCGTCTTAGTTTGTAACGTATCTGCAATGTATCGTGGAGGACCATATTCATTTCTAAACGATACTTTTTTTGGTGGATGGCCAATCGATAGAGTAGTGTGGGCCTAGTGGCGTGCGACTCTCATACCTGAGGTCGTAGGTTCGATCCCCGGCTGTGCACCAATGTACTTTCTTTCTATGTGCGCATTTAACATTTGCTCGAACGGTGAAGGAAAACATCGTGAGGTAACCGACATGTCTTAGACCCAAAAAGTCAACGGCGTGTGTCAGGCACTAGAGGCTGATCACCTACTTGCCTGTTAGATTTAAAAATGATCATGAAACAGATTTAGAAATCTGAGGCCAGGACCTAAAATCAATCACCTATAAAGATTAACGAACCTGTTGTAAGACATTCAAAAACTATTTTTAGTTTGAAATTTTTTGTTTAATGATTTTTTGTTATATTGAACGATGATAACCCTCATTTATGGCTGTACTTTTTATTATAGAAGAAACATGTTTGGATGCTTATGAAGCACAACGAAGGCGCAGGCGCAGACGACATTATTGCCCTGATCATGGTAAGATTCAAATATATGTTAAATTAATTAGCGTCATTTTCATTTATTAAAATCTCAGAAATATTATAAATCTTGTTTATGGTCTACCAGCGAGGTGAGCGCTCGCTTTGATACAATTTGATATGGTAGTAAAATGACTCGTCTAACGCCCGAACCCAATAACCTATCTCAATCCATAATGCAACATCTGAGTTAGTAATTTTAATCCAAATGTTGTAACAAGTGTGCCAATACCCAATCGATGGATTGTAATAGGCATCTGTCGATACAAGCTATCCATGGATTGTAATAGGCATCTGTCGATACAAGCTCTCCATGGGAGGTCAGATCGGTGTCTGTGGATAGACCTTTGTATGAAAATGACAGTTGACGAAAGTTCGATTCCAACAGTTAATTATTTTAATTTTCACTTACACCAGTTTTTTAAATAATTAAAAAATCTGTTTGTTATATTTTAAACATACACATGTATATTTGAATGTTATTTGTACGGTTTTATTTACTTTATTTGGTTTACATTGATTATCAAATATGAGTGAAAACTCGGTAAAATGGAACGACAAAAAGCATTTTATCCGTCGCCAAAAATGGATTGTTTTCGTAGGGTTTAGTTATTGGGATGCAGATCGGAGATCGATCGACTGTCACGGTCTGATCTCAGATTGTTTTCAATCTGAGATTGTGGCTTAATTATTGGGTTCAGGCATAAGGAAGCACTCTAGCCGATCCTTATTTGCCAACCTAAAACGTGGTTTTTAATTATAAAAAAATATTAATACTTAATACAAATAATTGAACATAGCTGCATTTTTATAATTTAAATAAATAGTGTTAAATATGCAATATAATGCTTATCTTTTGTTAGCAGGTTGTTCACAAGAATCGGGGAGTTGAGGACTCACTGCCGAATATTTAGTAAATATCTAGTCAACTTAGCGAATTCTGTTATACATATTAATATGTATACAATTTTTTTACAATTATATTATCTATTTCTATTAAATTTTGTTTCATTTTCTCTAATATATTACCCACTCATTGATATTTTAACGTAACACGAAGGGGTTGATTGTACGGTATGTGTTTAAAAACTAATTGGAATTAGGTATAACGAAAGATTCTCTGATACCTATTTTACATGTCACGAACTAAAGCTCGTATAACTTGCCAGTCAGTCTTCTAGTATTGAAAATATATGTAACATATGATATAAGGCTTTGTATCGATATTGGAATGTACTTAGACGACTAATGATATTAGTCGGTAAAACTAGCAACCCTACGTTTCTCTAAGCCAATATTTAGCCATACAGTACACCCTATACTATCAAATTCAAAATCACTTATTCATTTAGGTAACACAATGTACACTTATGAACGTCAATAAAGAAATACATATTAAATGCTTCTAATTTTTACATTTACTGCCAGTTCTCAAATCAAGGGCGTAGAACGGACGAAAAGAACTGGCAATAAACTCTCCGCCATATCAATAGTAAAAATATTAATAATTGCGGGATATCTGCACCATGAAACCTAAGCTAAGTATAGAGGGTTAAGGTGGTATTGTTTAAAGTCGTTGGGCGGGTTCATCACGCTAATTATGAGCTGGAAGAAGTCTTCGTCATTTTGAGAGGATGTGACTGACAAGACAAAACTATATACAAATTACTATATAATCACACTTTACATACACATATATAACATCTACCTACCTATAACACAAATATAAAATTTGGCAAGTTAGCTATTCGTGTATCGAGCATTATTAGTTCTACATTTTTAGGACGCAGAACCGTGTCAGCGGTTGTAATGTTCAACGAAATCGGAGCAACTCGTACTATCCAAAGCGTACCAAAACTGGTAGTGGCCTCAGTTTTTTTTTTTTAAGCGTTTTCCAGATAATTCCCCGACTATGTGGTCGTCGGAGGTGTTAAAAATCTTACATAAATGATATCAGTTGGTTGTACCTATTTCCTTGGTATTTTTTCTTCCAAAGACAGCAGGTAATCCAACCTTACACCCCAGTGTAATGGTTTGTTTATGATCTTAGGATAAGGTTCGGTCACGCTTAGCGTAAGTATGACTTCCGTATGTCAAAAAACAGTCACATGTAGAGACACAAAGTCTTACCCAGCTCTAACTCTCGACTTTGAATCTGAAGGTTAGACGTGGCTTACTTGGTTTTTCCAACTATCTAAACATATATAATAAGGTATATATTTGAATGATTATTTTGTTCACTGAATTGCACCACGTTTTATTTATACGTGTAATTTTTAAACAATAAAGAAATTAAATGAACATGTACGCGTTCTTTAGATTACCAATAAACTTACTCCTGTTATCATAATGAGAAAAACAGTATTAATTAATGACTTTGTCTAACTAAAGCACTGATCCTTCTGGTATAATATTTTAGCCTCTTTTAATTACAATGTTAATTTATTGAAGGCAATATAATCAATTATCGCTAGGACTAATTGTAATGAGTGGTACAGCTGTTAACTAGGACTGTCTCTCGTTTGCCTAAATATTTTAATATGAAACTTCTCATCCAAGCATTACTCTGCAAGCATATGCGTCGGTATTTAAAAATGCATTACTCATATAATTTTCTATGTTATACTCTCATATTCGTAAAAGGATTCCATTACAACGTGTTAGACGCGTACTCTGAACACCGGAATCACATTAACTGCAACATGTGGGAAAGCTGTAAAATTGTTTTACTAATGGCGCACTGCAGTACAGCATTCCATCTTTTGAAATTCAGGCATAGTAGAATGAATTGAACCGTGTTACTTGAAAACCAAATTTATATCATATAGATGACTTTATTTGAAATATTCCGCCATGAATAATTTGCGAATTATGCGATGTTGTAAAATTTGCGACACCTTAATCAATAATTGAATAGTATTATCAATTATATACTTAAAGTTCCTTAAAAGCCTTATATATTGGCGTAAACTGTACAAAAATATGTTTTTAGGGAGGGACATTTTGTAATATATCCCACCTACTCGTGTAATGCGGCTTAATTTTCTTCAGACATGTCATATACCCAGGAAATACAGTGCACATTCAAACTCTCATATAATCGGCATCTAAGGAATCTTTATAACTACGTTTTTCTGCGAAATAGTTAGGGCTCTAAACTGAATATTGGTAATTAAAACTTGAATTTCTAAACACTATCTATTCAAGTGCATTATTTTAATGAAAAACCAAAATATAAACATGATCACTTTTTATCGTCACTTAAACACTAAGCTTATACTCGTAGATGTTCAAGCCCGCATCATGGTGTGAGACTCAGCCGGCTATTGTTTTCTAATGTCTATTCAAAACAGAGTCTAAAATATAAAAACGAAATTACCGTATTCAAATATCTGTTTTCCATTCCACGTCTTATCCAGGAATTGAAATGGAATATCAAATAGCAAAAATAACTGTATAATGCGGTCTTTAACGAGAAGGTTATAAATAAGGCTTTGGCTGACGTATGACTGTGTTATTTTTGTTGACGTAATGGAACACAGATGTATATTAGGGCTTTAGACGTATTGTTACATAATTTATAGGTTATTTATTTACCTCGTGGGGTAATAAGTAACTCTGGGGTTCCTATATTCGATTTCAACTTGTTTTTCGAGCCTTAGACGTTTCCGATGACGGATCTTTGACTAAGTATGAATTGCGCTCATCCACAAGATAAACACATGCAGAGACGGGGTCCGAAGACACTACCTATGCTTGAGTATTGTGCATACATTCTAAACTTACATTCTAACATGTTACTTGTATAATAAAATATACTACTAATAGAAGTCATTTTAAAGATGTCTGTGACTACAATGGACGATCTATTTAAATTTGAAACTGCACTATCGCTACCGTTTTACGACAAATCTGACTTCCAAAATGCGTCGCCACACTGAAATATTCTGCATAATTCAACTTAGCAGAAACGTTTATCGCACATAATAAACTCGTAGAGGAGATGCTGAAAATTGTGTCAATATATTAAATTCGTTTTACGAACGCGTAAGGTTTAGTCCAGTAGTTTGGAACACAATTTTCATTGGAAGAAAAATTATTCGGTTTCTAAGGCATTCCACTGGCTACCACCAAAAATGTATATTGGCCTGCGAAACGAGGAACGTCCACCGCAAGTGTCTGATATGTCTAAATTTTATTTATATAACTCTATCCAAAATACAGAAAGTGTCTTAAAAGCGCCCTGTCGTGAATTCCGTCTAAAAGGAATTTCGTATTCTGCCTCGACGTCAGAGGTTTAAATTCAAGTGCGGGTATTAGTCCGAACAATCATTGTATTCCCCGTGACGTATGTGATTTAAGATACATGTCTACGCAACGCTAGAAACCAATCAGAAAGGATAGTTTCGTTAACGAGCCACTCTGCGTTGGGTGCAATCATATTTTTTACTAGAACTATGTTGTGAGTTGTAATAGTTTTAATCAGAGCACCGTAAGCTTATTTTTATTATACATATAGTGAAATCGTTTATCTAAACCTAATCATAACAATCACATATACAGTATCTACAATTTTATTAACCTAATTAAAAATAAATAAAAAGAAAAATTAAATGAATTTAAAAAGTTTCATCCCTGTGGCGGTGTGACCTTTAACACTTTCAGCATTTCCTCGCTTTATTGTGATACTTATTTGTTGACCGAGGAAAGCACCAACTCTTGGGTACTATCTAAGGTCTTTACTCCAAAGGGCCTGCTAGTAATAGAATGCTTTTTATTTTTTTTATTTACAAAGTGTTCAAAACTAAAGATGAGTATCTTTAAAGCTAATTGTGCCATATACTATAATATAATTGAATAAGGGGGTTATTTTAGTCACGCAAACCTTTAGATTTTTTATAGATAGATAAATGTTTAAAGGATCATACGCCTGAAGGCTTTCGTATACAAGTTATTGAAAGGCGTAATATAGTCATTAATATACTCGTAGGTTGGGGAAAAAGTCTTTTCGCATTATAGTATATATGAACTTGTAATAAAATCTCTTTGGCTATACTATATGTATCCGGCTGGTTTTGTTATCAACGAAAGTTGAGATTTTAAAGAAGATAATTCCAAAATCAAATTAGGATGTCTGTTTTTTATTTGTTTTTCGTACCGTCAAGATGAGTGAATCGAATGAAGAAATTTTTGGAAAAGTGGAGCAAGCTCGGCATATCAGTAGTTACGACGTAGCTAAAGAACTGGGAATTGACCACAAAACAGTTTTGGCGCATTTGAAAAAAACTGGGTACACAAAAAAGCTCGATATTTGGGTACCTCAGGAGCTCACTGAAAGGAAACTAATGAACCGTGTACTCATTTGTGATTCTTTATTACGACGTAATTAAACCGAACCATTTTTGATGAAGCTGATAACTGGTGATGAAAAGTGGATCACGTACGACAAGAACGTGCGAAAAGGGTAGTGGTCAAAGGCCGGTCAGGCTTCACAGACTGTGGCGAAACCCGGGATAACTCGCAACAAGGTGATGCCGTGTGTGTGGTGGGATTGGAAGGGCATTATTCATTATGAGCTGTTACCACCAGACAGGACCATCGATTCTGAACTCTACTGCGAACAACTGATGAGATTAAAGCAAGAAGTTGAGAGAAAGCGGCCGGAATTAATCACCGGAAGGGGTGTGGTTTTTCATCATGATAACGCTATACCTCACACATCTTTAGCCACTCAGCAAAAACTAAGAGAGCTTGACTGGGAGGTGATAATGCATTCGACGTATAGTCCTGACCTTGCACCTTCAGATTTCCACCTGTTTCAGTCTCTTCAGAATTCTTTAGGCAGTGTCAGGTTAACATCACGAGAGGACTGCCAAAACCAATTGTCGCGGT